GACCATTTTCGGGGCCCTACTACAAAGACAGAAAAGCAACTGCGATGAGTTTGTTTGGGTTTGGTATCAAGATGGGAGCCGAGATGAGAGGAATTGTTTCTCAGATGTTAAACTGTCTTCGAAGGCATTTGTTAATACAGCAACGTTATACTGTAGAACTGTACTGAGAATATAGCTGAAAATAGTTTAAAATCGTAATTTTCAAGAAAAGAAAAGCGCTTGCGAATGTTTCGAAAGCCGCATTCTGGAAGCACTATCTAAAGCACAAAAACCGTTTCAAAAGTGATAGTATTATCTCTTATCAGTCCTCGCAAACAGCCAGTGTTCTCAAGAAAATTGTCATGAACCAATGTTGGACTCCTGGAAGGCATATAAACCTGCTACCAGACTGCTCTGCTGATGGTGAGCAGCTCTCATAGAACATTTTGAACAAATCTCGACGGCAGGTCCGCAACAGAAAGCGCAGCTAGCAGAGAAGGTTGGTGGAGAAGCTGCCAAGGGACAAGTCAGTGAAGAGAAAGGGGGACGTTAGGAACGCTAATAGGACCCAAGATTGTTAAATATTCTTTATTAACGGTTGACGTTTCGGCGTCGTCGCCTTCTTCGGAACCTGGAAAGCCGAAAAGCATTCAGGAAACCCTTCGTCCAAACACTATTTCAACTTACAAGGAAAACTCCAAAATGGATGTAAACTACAGTGCAATAGAATCATGCCAAGATTCATCGAAAGTCGAACAGTGCTATAAGGACCCTCCTTAGCAGTGAGCAGTTCTTCGAGTAGAACGCGTGTTGGGACGAGAACAGTCAGCTGATTCTTTGCAATCAACACTACAACCACACAGAAGAGCATGGAGCCTCAAATTTGAGCTTCTCGTCCTGTGGCATCGGAGACGCGAATATTGATGCGCCCAAGAGTGTTGAAGCGGAGTCACTGGGAAGAGGTGTCTCTGGAACAGTGCTGCACAGTAGCTCCTTACCCTTCCGTCTCTCCGCCACAAAATTGCAGATGGCTATCTTATGCGGACCGCAATACCTTCCTAGCAATTTTTTTTCATTCTCCTGGGTCATTGCGTACAATTCCCCTGAGGTGAGGAGCGTTGGAGCATGTCTCTTGAAGATAGAGTTGGCTCCATTTGAGCATGAACTTTGCTGTCGGCTCATGAAAACGACAACGATTCGTCCCCAAGAGCATGACCTGCCTGCGTATCCGACCCGCGGTGAACAGCTAGCAATGCATCCTTCATGTAGGATGTCGTCTGGATTGTGACGAGAGTTGATTATTTATTGTGTTTTTGTTGTTTTTTTGACAGAGAAGAATCGTTAGCGTAGAACTAAATAACGTTGTTTCTCGTTTGCTTGTTCAAGAGACAACTAGTACTTGTAAATGTGTTCTTCTTCAGGCAGAGCCCTTCCCTGTACGAGGTGAATGAGCCTATGGCGGCAGTAATGTGCCTCTTTCTCCGGTCGAAATTGGACGAGAACCGGCCGCAGGGGTGGTACTCGAAACTCCGCTCGCGCTCTTTTTAGGAAGCAGTACTAGAGTCCATATGAATATCTCGCAGCGAAACACGCACTTAGAGGCTGAGAACAACTAGAAGTGAGAGGGCACAGACAAGTAGCGCGTTTGGCTATGGTTACGCGTGGCTGGCCGTACGGTATCACGGGTCCAGTACGGTCACGGCACCTATCCCTGCACTTTTGACAGGAGGAAATGGAACACTACTGCCTATACGATCCATTCGCCTCGCGCATGCAAAGGACAAGGACCCCGGAGGTGATCTTACAGCTTGTCTTTGCATATCTGCCCTTTAAAAATGATAAACAAATAGATCAATCTAACGTGGAAAGTGGCGTCAATGAAAGACCGCTTCACAAATGCCGCTTATTTGCCGTACAATATCGCTACTTTTAGCATGAGTTCTCTGAATGACAAATACTGCTTCTCGCACGACGATAACCACTGACGGCGGTATGACTTGAGCTGAGCTGATCATGGGATAATTATTGAAATATTTATTTTTATTGTGTTCAAAAAATGCGAAGAACTCAGAACGATAAGGAAAGATCACGTTTGCTTCTCCTTTTTAGCTCGGAATATCAAAGCATACAACTTCAATAGAATAAATTTCAACAGTTTCCATAAAATAAAGAGAACTAAAGCAATGATTGCTAGTAAGAATGCCATGACGTCCAGTGAATGATACTGAACAAAATTGAGTTTTCGTGCCAGCCGGTACTAGATTATCCAGAGTTTTGAATTCGGCAACAAATTCAGCCCATTTGACCAGGAGATGATCTGCTTTTACAGGTTTCTTCTTCACCATCTGCGACAATCGCTTGATGCTCTGGGAGTAGCTGAAAGGAAACGAACTTTCATGACTTGAGTTGTTCTTTTGAGCTTCTCAGGCCAGATCACTTCAGATCACTTAGGTTTGGATAAATCTAGCTTCGATGGGTTTATACCCAACTGACCGGTCTCAGAGCTAAGGTCCACGCTGACATTGTGGGCGGTTCATTTTATGTCGTTGAGCGCAGGTGAACGGTTGTGGGCCGAGAGATCAGGAGCGAGGAGGTGGTGCAAGAGCGTCCGGGCCAGTTCGGCGACAGGGGAGGAAGTAGAAGAGCATTTGACTTTCCACTTCTTCTCGTCGACATTTTGAGCCATCTACAAAGCTATTTTATGAGCTTACAAAGCATTGGCAGGTTTCACCCAGCTGGCTTGACGAGCTTGCTCCAGCTTGAGTTCACAAGTTTCACCAGAGTGAGACTTGTAAACCAGAGATAGTGAAGCAGAGAATGTGCAAAATGCCCATCCTCTTTCCCCCTCCCCAGTCCTTTTCTGCTGTCTGAACTGGCGCCGAGCTTCCCAATTAAGTGGCGTTGTGGCGCCGACGTTCGCTAGGTCTTGTATTGAATTATGGCGTGAAAATGCCATAGGCAAAGCTGAGTCAACCAGTTCAGAACTTGCGGCGAGGCGGATGAATAGTTTTTGCCCTGCTGGGATCTTCTGCGTACTTCCCACGTCAAGGGCGACTAGCCAGCCAGAAGGTTAGCTAACTCTTGGATTTGATAGTAAGAAGGATTCGCTTGTTGTACAGCTCTCAGCGGCTGGCTGCCTGAGTGCGCTGTGACGTCCCTCACACCATCAAGCGCCTCTCGCGTCCATTTTAAGAACAAACCTCTTATCAGTCAAAAGCTTGTGCAGCGCTACAGCTATAGTGTCAGCATTGAGATCGCTCTTTCCTGATGTTGATGGCGAAATGATGCCTTTCTGCCAACTTTGCGTTTCGTGGTTGATCGCCAAATAGAGCTACGGTTATCAATGGAACGCCGGCTGTGACAGCTTCCTAAAAACAAGCCAGACTGAGTGTCCACTAAATCAAACGAACAATGAAAAAACCGACCTGTAAACTATTGTAGCCTCCATGCGATATGAACGCCAATGTTTTGGGGTGGCTCAGGAGATCCGCCTGTGGTAGCCATTTGAATAAATAGACATTCGATGGAAGCTGATCTGCATGATACTTGATAAGATGGTCGGACTTATAGTATTCCCTGCATACGCAGGGGCATGTCAGGTGGAGAGACTGGGTTGGCGAGGCAGCCTCTCAACCTTCTCAGCTCGCCCGCTTCAACAAATGGCGAAGAATTGGCTAAAACCCACCCCGCTGACACGCCCCAGCGTCTGCAGCTGTATTTTAATATCAATTCAGGTGTCTCAAAATCATTTTCTGAGCTGGAAAAGACTAGCAATAAATGTCTCAGCGTACCTTTCAAATCAGTTCCTTCATATCTTAGCACGAAGTTCAAGTTAGGAAATCGTGAGAAAGCCTCCAAGAAGGACTTTTTCCACTCCGCCGGCATTCGATGAGTCGGTGTTACCGAGCCGAACGAAAACACAACAAGTCCCTCACAACTGTCCACTATTTGTTGGAATTCCTGTAACAGTATTCCTCTTTGCTCAGAGAATGTTGCTAACGCACAGCTATCGCGAAGTATTGCCGAGAAGGAACTGCACTTATCTTCTGCTAATTTCACTCCGATATATGGCTATATATACATACACTCTGTATTCAGGAGATAGATTGATCGTAATCACGTACTTAGTGAATCGCTCGGAGTTGGAAAATGTTAGTGTCGACAGAATGATTGGCTATTTCATTTGGAACCTAGTGACACCCAACTAATGGGACTGAATTCTGACGAAG